GGAGTGGAAAATTGGGCAAAATAGAGCAAAATGTGCTGGATCCGGATAAAACAGGAGGGAATGAAGGGTTGGGAAAATCTTCCAGTGGGAGCAAAGGGAAGAGGAGGATTTGGGGAAGGGAGAGCTCATCCAGGAGGATTTTTAGGGAACAGGGGGCACCTCTGTGGGTTTCAATCCTGCAGAAATTCCCGGGTTTTTCCCATTTTCCCTCCCGTCCTTCACCTGGAAGCCAAAGGTCTGGAAAAGCAGAGATTTTCCTGTGGGAACGGGCAGCGATCCATGAGCAAACACTGGGATCCCTGGATGTAAATGTGCATTCAATACTGAGAATAAAGGGATGCGTTTCCTGTGGATCCCATTCCTGGATACCTCTGGCAAGGGAAAAATGGGATTAATTCAGGGGTTTTGGAGAGGTTGAGTGCGGTACTGGGAATGTGACCCTGGAATTGGGATGAAGGCAGGGAAGGATCAGCCGCAGCTTTGCCAGGACCCGTAAAAAGTTTAAAAATCCACAAACGCCAGGTTTTTTCTCTGTGTGGAGTGATTTGGAGGGAATTCAGCTTGTCCAGACCTGCTGGGCCAGGAAAGGTTGGAGCAGATGATCCATGAGGTCAGCCTGGCTCACTCCCAGGGAGGGGAGACGAGAGGAGAGGCCGTTGGAGGCGCTGGCGGGATCAGGATTCAGGGATTTTTAAAACTCCCTTTTACATTCTCCGACATCATTTATAATGATCAGGGATTTCGGAATCCAAATATCCGCGGTGTGAGCTGGCTTTGCTGGGGCTTCGGAGCCTCCAGGCTGGCTCCAGACGCCGCTTGTCGGGAAATTTTCCTGTTCCCCTTCCCTCCTTTAACCACTGAAGGATCCTCTTTCCTTCCCATTGCCCAGGTTATTCCCATCCCACTCCTCCCGTTTCCCTGTGCTGCAATTCCTCCCGGATTACAGCCAGGATCAGAAGTGCTGGCTGTTTCTACATCCCGTATTTATCCAAAACAGGGATTTAGGAATGTGAATATCCATGGCCCGAGGCGCCTCTCTCTTTCCCTGTGCATTTGCAGCCTCCTGGCTGGCTCCAGCTTGGGAATTTTTTCCTTGAACTCCCTTCCTTGCTTTAATCCTTGCCTTTGCTCACCTCCAGCGCTGGGGGGCTTGGATAATGAGGAAATATCCCAAATAAATCCTTCTGGAGTTCCCTGAGAGCTCTTGATCCTACTGGAATTCCCTGAGAGCTCCTGATCCTTCTGGAATTCCTGGAGAGCTCCTGATCCTTCTGGAATTCCCTGAGAGCTCCTGATCCTACTGGAATTCCCTGAGAGCTCTTCATCCTTCTGGAGTTCCCTGAGAGCTCCTGATCCTTCTGGAATTCCCTGAGAGCTCCTGATCCTTCTGGAATTCTCTGAGAGCTCCTGATCCTAGTGGAATTCCTGGAGAGCTCCTGATCCTTCTGGAATTCCCTGAGAGCTCCTGATCCTTCTGGAATTCTCTGAGAGCTCTTGATCCTTCTGGAATTCCCTGAGAGCTCCTGATCCTACTGGAATTCCTGGAGAGCTCCTGATCCTTCTGGAATTCCTTGGGGAGAGCAGCAGGGCTGAGCTGAGCTCTCCTTCCCTCCCCAGATTCCAGCCAGGCATTTCCTTTAGGGAATTGTCTCCTCTGAGGGGTTTTTTGGGAGTCACGGGAGGGATCCCGGCCCAGGATGGTGGAGGTGATTCCTTGGGATGGTTTTAACTAAAAGAGGGAATATTTAGATGGATGTT